TTATGCACCAAGAGCTTGTAACACTCCAAAGAGAAAGGAAAACTTGAAATCGCATCATATGACCCCTTTAAGTTAAGTTTTGTTAAAAAAATGACCCACCTTGTAGTTTCAATAGATGTCTTTAGCATAACTTGTGCTTGTCTTTGGTAAATCATGGGCAAAAACCATGTCTGCAAACAATTTTTGTTGATTTACTAAATTTCTTCCTCAACAGGCCCAAGACCCCCAAATGCTTGACCAGCTATCAAAAAACATCACAAGATGTGGCTTATCTAACTCTACGCTGAACTACCTCCGAGTAAGTTCATTTCCATCAGTCTACAGAACGATGGATGTGAATTACAAAAACATCTCGGTAACTGTTTTTTCCCTCTCCCACAGCTTTGTGTAATCCTGGAGCCCATGCAGGAGCTGATGTCCAGGCACAAGACGTACAGTCTCAGCCCACGAGACTGCCTCAAAACCTGTCTGTTTCAGAAATGGCAGCGGATGGTGGCCCCACCAGGTGAGAATGGGGCGACTTTCATCTCAAAATCAAATATCCAGCAGTGTCCCACCCGAGCCTCAGATATCTCCCTTTGCTCTTTGTCAAGCCGAGCCAGCGAGACAAGCCCCCAACAAGCGAAGGAAGCGAAAAATGTCCGGCGGCAGCACGATGAGTTCCGGAGGGGGCAACAACAACAACAACAGCAACAGTAAAAAGAAAAGTCCAGCCAGCAGTTTTGCGCTTTCCAGCCAGGTACCTGTAAGCATCTAATTTTAAAGTCCATTTTGAGCTTTGGGAGATGGGTAGCGGCAGAAGGGTGAACCAATGCTTGTATTCAAGTTATGGATAATATTAGGAAGACAGACCCAACATAGAGACAAGTGGACATGATCCAATGCTGGGCAGTCCCTGGTCCTTTAGGGCCGCAGGTCTGTGGGTTTTTTGTGCTTTTTGTCAGTCTGTTGGGTGTTTTGAGCTCCAGAGACGCAGCGAACACTAGAGACCCGAGGTGGAATGAACCCATGCAGCACTCAAGGATCCGGGATGCCCACCATGGCAGAGCTATTTAGTGTTCAGCATGGTGAACGTAGCCTTTTCACATACAGCACTGCTGGTTTAAGTTCCCGTACTGATTTGGGCTTGTAGTGGGCAGAATAGTGGAGGTGTAGTTCCTCAGTGCCTTCTGCAGTTCAATGTGGCGTAGAAAGCCACCGCGTCCCCCTACGGAGCACCCCCGGGTTGCGGGGATAATGTTTGCGCCCCTTCCTGTCCCCTGCAGGATGTGATGATGGTGGGAGAGCCCACTCTGATGGGAGGGGAGTTCGGGGACGAGGATGAGCGGCTCATCACGCGGCTGGAGAACACACAGTTTGATGCGGCCAATGGCATCGACGACGAGGACAGTTTCAACAGTTCCCCCGCCCTGGGCACCAACAGCCCCTGGAACAGCAAAGCTCCCTCCAGCCAGGAGAGCAAAAATGACAACCCCACCTCACAGTCATCGCAGTAGAAGTGTTAGGGGCTAGCGAAAGGCTCGAGAAGCCGCTCGAGGACACCTCGCTCGCTTGCTCACACGATCCGGTCCTTGTCTTCTGCCTTGACGAGTCCTCAATTGGTCAGACGTGAAATTGGCCCTCCTCATCCTCCTCCTCCTCTGTCGCCATCAGACATTCCGTTTTGTTGATTCTTTTGTTTCTTTGGGAGTCGTTTTCCAACACCGTCCGTTTCTGTGTCTCGATCAGTCTTAGCGATCAGGCTGTGGGTTATTGTTCCAACCTCGGGTCTCTCTGTGCGTGCTGTGCTTTGACACGCATGGCCGTTTCTGTTGTGCTCACTTGACAGGAAAGGATCACTTTTTATCTCACCGTTTAGTGATATGACCATTGTGTGCACCTCAGATTCAAACCCAAAGCTCCATTTTTAAAAACTCAATTATTTGTTTTGTAGGACCTGGTTGGAACAAAAACCTGTACAGTTCCGGAGCTTGAGGACCGGAGTTGAGAACCACTACGTAAAGTCCTTTAAGTAAAACTAAATAAAGTGTAAAGCATCGAGGTTCTTGAGTTTGGTCATGCCCGAAATGGTCACTGAGAGCTTGCCTGACCATTACGCCAGACTCAAAAGAAGTGTTTGATTTTTTTTTTTTTTAATTGTTTGCATTCTGTTTAGTTTCTTGTTCTTTTTTATTTTTTATAACGATTTCTAAAGTGAAAAAATAAGCAAGCAAACAAAAACTCTAAATATCCTTTGCACTCGTCACTGTATTTTGGATCTATTTTTCTTAAAAAAATGATTGAAGAATTTTGTTCTTATTAAAACAAAAAATTGATGATCTTTAACTGGAAAACGCTGTCAATCTCAGTGTAAAATAAAAAATTTTGTATTGTTACTGTTATCAATATTATTGTAAGTAGATGCTAATTTGCTTTAAGCTTTACACCTATCTGTCTTTGTTTCTGTTTTAATCGTCTTTGAAAATGAGATTACATGATCATAGCATGTATGTCTGGGAACTGCATGTGTCAGACATTAGCTATCGCAGCTGTAACAGTCTCATTGTTCGCAGGATCTAAATCCAACACTGTTAGTACAACGGCTGGTGACACATTTTGTCCCGAGACCGTAGCTATAAACATTTTGTTTCCTGGAGATTTTTAGCCTATTGAAAAGAACAGGCCGAGCTCAATGCCTGTCGTTCACACTGATTATTAGTTTGCTTTGAAAGTCTAGGGAAAATATCAAATTAGTAAGCCAGTTATTGTTTTTTTTTTACCCGATGCTACAGACCAAGGAGCAAGATCCTTTAATCAACACATTTATATAATGTTTTTGTTTTTTTATCATTTTGTTTGTGTATTTGTGATTGTATATTTAAGATTGTAGCCAAGTTCTGTATAAGTGTAATTCTATTTACTCTTCTTAGGACCCTTGTGCCCTTCACCCCTTCATATGTCAAGTAAAACTGAACCTCTCATTTCAAATTGTTTCTAGATGCATTAAAGGTACAACTACCTTTTACACGAGAAGGTAGATTATAGTTTTTAAGTCAATGTACAATGTATTTATTTTTTTAAAGTCTTTGCCATTGCATTATATCGAGACAATACATGTTGCTGTGTATTTGATGTTGCCTTTGTACATTTTCACTTGTTTTTTTTTTCCTCAACCTAAGATGATATATTAGTCCTTGAATGAATCCTTAAGAATTCTTATTAAAATTTGGATAATTAAACATAAATCCTAATTCCAAGAAGCCCCTTTGAGGTTACATTGTATTAGGTTTAAAAACACCAGAGGGCACTCCATTGTAGGGCTTCCATTGGCTTATAAAAATGGTCTAAGACCTAAACTATGGTTAAATATAACCATTCTAAGGCATACAAATCCGAAATTCATTTTTCTTCAATGTCACTTGTGAAATACAGTGTTGTTTCTGGTTTATTTCTCAAATCGGCCATAAAGCAGGTGTGCTCTTTTCTGTGTTTTCAGAGCACCTTTGTTTGTGGTTGTTTTACAGATATATTTTTGCCTCGTGTCTGCCATTGATAGTTGATATATGGTACCAATAAAACATTTTCACAAGCTATCATGCCTGGTATGTGGTTAAAATATACACGTCAACAGTACATTAAAAACTACGAGAGGCTTCCTCAACACTAGGTTTCTGATAAGAAATGTGAACAACTCTAATAGTCAAAACTAGAGTGTTACTGGCACTTCATATTTCCAGGTAGATATTTGGAATTCTTAGCAATATTATTAGTTTTAAGTCACGTCAACAGTACATTAGAAACTACGAGAGGCTTCCTCAACACTAGGTTTCTGATAAGAAATGTGAACAACTCTAGTAGTCAAAACTAGAGTGTTACTGACACTTCATATTTCCAGGTAGATATTTGGAATTCTTAGCAATATTATTAGTTTTAAGTCCAACTTATTTTCATTAAGCATCCACATGTGCTTATTCATCTGCCGTTAAATGTTTTTGGGTAAAAGACGCGACACTTGTTCAGATTTATTACGACATTAATAAATGCAATTCTAACCAAAAATAATTTAAATGCACCCACTAATGTTTTCAATTAATAAATCAAAAGTCACTGGATATTCTTGAATTGTTAGTTCACACAAATATGAAAAAATCTGTTAATTTACTCATTCTCATGTCGTTCCAAACCTTTTTCTTTTGTAAAACATAAAAGATGGGGGATTTCTTTCTTTCTTTTTTATAAAAATATAGGCCTATAATTTAATCGATGATATATAAAATGAAATGTGTTTTAAATGAATTTCTTTAATACACATCTTTTTTGTCATCTGGGACATTTTTTTTCGTCATAATTTTTTTTGTAATTGACCAATGTTCATTGTCATTAATAGTAATTTTATAAGTTCTTTGATAATTGTTTTATGTAAACTGAAAACAACAAAAAAATTAAACATTCATTTAAAAGTTTTTGTTTACATAATATATGTGTATGTACTGTGTATATTTATTATGTATATATAAATACACACACATGCGTGTATATCTTTCAGAAAAAAATGTCGTTTATATATTAAATATATCTATATATAATATTAATTATATGAATATAGATATATATATACATGTAAATGTACATAATTTTCTAAATATATACTGTATGTATGTATATTTATATATACATAATACATATACAAAGTGTACACATATTATGTAAACAAAAACGTTTATTTTGGATGCGATTAATCGTTGGACAGCACTAATTTTAATATATTTTTAGAAACAACAGCAATAGAAAAATGCGGTCACCCTCAGTTTTAAATAGATTCCTTTCTGAAAACTGACCAGTCTTTATAAACTCAGAGCCTCCCTCCCTCTTTCTCTCCCTCCCATTTCAGTTTGTCCTAGTCTTTCATTCTTTCAAAGAGTGCCAATTCACTCTTTTATTGCTTCACTCAGTGCATCTAAACTTCATTGTTGACATCAGGTTTCTCTCGGAGGGATAAAGACATCGGATCTATGAGAGGATTTTAGACTCACTTGAATTGAACTAAGAGGAACACGCTCAACAATAGCTGGAGAACTTTAAATATAAAACAGGTAGCTACTATTGTAGTGATGTTTATGACTTTGCCCTGAGCGGTAAAAGTGCTGTCTTTCTAGCTTCGCCTTTTCGTAGTTAGTTCTCAGGTTACTGTTTTAGGTAAACAGTTCAGGACAGTATCTGCTTAACGCGGATACGTTTGTCAATCCAACCTGTTTATTTAAATTGGTCTGACACACTGTCAAGAAGATCGAGTTTTGCTTCCGTCTGTGTAAATATGTAAGAAATTGTACAACAATAGAATTGCAAGATGATTTTATTTATCTAAAAATATTTTGTGTAGCTTTCAGAGCGTTTTTCATTCCTGACTGTTTGTTTTTATATTTTAGTCAGGAAGATGTGTTTTAGGACGTAAGTAGCCTACAGTTCCTCTTTCTCTAATTATCACAATAATTGCTGTAATTATAAAACAATAGTTATACAGTGACATATGTTCTAAAGAAGATTAGACTAATTATTGACATTTAATATGCCATAGGTGACGTTTGATGCTCATACGAATCGAGACATGACCTAAAAACCCACCGACTAATGAACATGAGGTCCAGAATGAAAGGAGTTTTTTGGAGTGGCATTTTGCCGCTGTTTCTCTGGACATTTGTGAGCGGACAACCGTCCTGTCCTATCGATACCAACAGAACAGAGCTACAAACTCCATATGAAATACCAACCAAGCTGACCTTCAATACTGCCTTTATGTCTCCAATTGTACATTCATTCCTGGGCTCTGTCCAGCCCAATCCATTCCCTAAAGGTGAGTTAATGTGATGTAGTTTTGATCTCTGTGTCTGACAAGGTCGTATTCAGTACAAACATGTTCTTTTAGTATTAAGTAATTTGCCATCAGCAGCTTGGTTACGCATGGTTTTATCTACGCAAACAACATGTTATGTGGCACAGATGAATCTAACTTGATCTGAGACTGTAATGGCTTTATTAGACTCATTAGAGGATGTTATTAAGCTGGGCTTGTTGTGCACATGGTTAGATGGTGCTTATTCAGTTGGGATAAATGTACTCAGTTAATTGTCAGAAGCAAAACCACTGTGCAAATAACCATGCAAATGTCCATGAGATTTGAATCATCTCCCCTCCTCATTCTAAGAGCTTTGTTTACCACAAAAATATGTTTATTGCTGTACTCTTCAAGCAGCCTGTATAGTTGCAGTCAGCATCACAAATGGAAAGGTAAACTTTTAAGTTAATTATTACCTGCCAATTCATTGTATGCTAAAAAAAAAAAATTAGCCTACTTCTCATATTGCATGATCTCATAAATTTCAAAGCTGTTCATAAAATGTTAACAATGTATAATTATTGGACCAAACATGAACTATTATGTTTATACATCTCTTCCTGCAGACAATTATTATTTAATCTAACAATAGAATGAAGCATTACTTTACAGAGATATTACTCCATAAAAACCTCATGAAGTTGTTCAGGTTACAATGATGAAATTCTATTCATCATCACCCATCAATAGAGTATTGTGTATAGTCTAACTTTCTACTTTGACTCTTTTGCTATAATACCTACTTGCTGATATCAATGGCTATTTTAGAAAAAATAAAGTATGAAAAATCATTATACAATAGAGAGTTGTTATAGCTTTGACCTTGCCCACTTCATCACAGTTTACCTCTGAGACTTTTTTAGCACTAGCAGAATGATGTGACACTGGTTATAATGTTATTTTATGTTGTGTAAATGAATATTAAAAAGAATATGTACAATGTCTTGGTATGTTTTTCCTGTAGATCTGCTGATTAGAATGATACAAGATAAGAATTTCAGCATGGAGAGGGTTAAAGAGGTATGTCACACCTGCATGTAAATGAATGGTTTGATAATAAATTGCACCTTGGTCATATTTTTGCAATATGATTTTAATACAGACAGATATTAATTGACACGTGTGTGTGCTCTAGGACAGGTTTCTCAGGATTTTTTTTTTCTACCATAAGTGAATCATGCTAACACCAATATTTTGGTGTATAAACATTGACTATTTGCCAGTTTCAATTGGCTGATCTGATTACACAGCGTCAGACATGTTTTGGATACACAGTTGAGCAGAGCACATGGACACGCATAAGTACACCTCCTATATAATGTCATCAAGAGTTTTTTTTTCTTTTTTCTTTGCATCTTTACTGCTTAATTTAGCTATACCCACAGCAACCAACCTGTCTATCCTCTTTCACTTTTGACCAGGTTTTGAAATATGAGATAGGTTTCCTGGTCTGCGTGGCCATTGGGATCCTCTACATTGTCCTGATGCCTCTAATTGGCCTAATATTTGCCTGCTGTCGTTGCTGTGGTAACTGTGGGGGCCGCATGCAGCAGAAGCAAACTACGAACATCCACTGCAAGCGAAGAAGCTTTTACTTGGCCACATTTCTCATCACTGTACTAATTCTGTGAGCACCGAGTGTAATGTTATTGTAATGATATTTTTGACATTTTATATTTAGCTTAATTAATATCAATTGCTATGCAGGGCAGGGAATGTTTGCATGTTCCTGAGCAGTACAAACACTTCAGAGACTGTGATGCGCAGCCCCACAGAACTCACTGACGTCTTGGAGAATGTCAAAGGCTATCTTAACACTATTTCTAAGGTACACCATTCAGAGAGATTAAGTGAGATTAAAACCCAGTGTGTTTGAAATGTTTATTGTTTTTTTTAGTTTTGATTTAAAAAAAGACAGTAAAAACAGAATGATTTTGAAATATTATAATGTAAAATAACTATTTACTATTTATTTTACTATATTATTTTAAAATGTAATTTATTCCTGTGATACAAAGCTGAATGTCTTGAGAAACATTTCTTATTATTATCAGTGTTAAAAACAGTTGTGCTGCTTAATATTTCTGTGAAAGCCATGATTTATTTCAGGATTCTTAATAAATAGAATTATATAAAAAGAACATCACTTATTTATTTAAAATAGAAATCTTTTGAAGTCTTATGTTTAAACTCTATGCAAGGTTGATTTATATCAACAACTGAAATGAAATCAAATGATAACAATACTGAATTAAACTGAATATAGCTGATACATAAGGGAAAATTGATACAACTTTTTATTCCTCAACAGCAAATCGAACAAGTTAAGAGTGAGAGCAATGTGACTGTGGATACCGTCAAAAGCAACTTGAATGGTATGTCTGTCTTGTATCTTTTAAGACAAGGATCACAAATGAATGGAGGCAAAACCATTGAAAGTGACAAAATTGCACTCAAATTCGAAATGCAAGAGGGAAAAACATTTTCCTTTTTGTAACATTTAATATAGTTATCTAAAAATTGCAACCATGTATGTTGCCACAATAAAAAGTTTATTTTTTTGATCCATTTGTTTTCTTTTAATCTCACATTGAGTTCCTGCATGTTTGTCTCATATAAACAGGGTCTTTGCTTGGTAAATTAATCCAAAATGGTCTTAAAGGTCCCCTCGACCCAGCATTCAACTCCATTACTGAAATAGCCCACGGTATGTATGCATTTACTCATCAAGCGATAAAGCAGCTCCTTTCTTTGGGAAACTTGCTCCGTGATCAAAACTTTGCTTGTTGACTCACCTTTGCAGCATTAATGAATCCATTGATTTTAAATACATTTTGTTCTTTATGTATGTGTGTTACAGTGATAAACAGCACCAGCCATGAACTGCTGAAGCTTAATAAAACCTTGGAGCTGTTGAAACCAAAGGTGGATGTGCTGAAAGCTAATTTATCTGCTGTGAGGCAGCGGATTAACAACACTTTGCATATGCCAGACTGTGTAAACTGCACTTCCCAGCGGCCAGAACTGGACAAACTATCACTGGAAGGAAGCCTTGACGTAAGCTAAACCATAGCTGTCATGGGGATAAACCAGTGAACAACTCATTGGGGAATTGTGTTATGGCAGCGAAGCATGTGGAGTCCTGATTATATCCTGATTCCACTTTAGGGTCTGCGGTAGTTTCAGGTTGAGCATTAAGAGCAAATACCTGCAAAAATGTGGGTGGATCATTACACAATAATTCGCCCTTTCTTTGAAGTTCTAGACAATTTGTGGTTGTGGTTGCCTCAGGTCAGTGATTGGAGCAGAGCGAATTCTGCATCAATCTTCTGGGGAGAACATAGGCATTACTATAATACCCACACAATGTTTTGGCTTAGATTACATGACTATTATACAGCATTTCTCTAGAAGTACAGAGGACCAAGTTGTTTTACCAGTCATCTGTGCACACAAAGGCTCAAACGCTGTCATTGAAGGAAAGCAGGGAGACAGGAACAAAGGAGCAGACAATAAAGAGTAACACAAGAAGTTATTGTTAACATGTCAATGCTTGCAAGCACTTTCTCTTGGAAACCTAACTCTTACCTGATTGAAAGACATTTCCATAAATACAGGCTGTTGTAGAGAAAAATAAGAATGTGTCACTGTCATTGTGTATGTGGATATCAGCATGTAGTGCATTTAATTACAGCTAGTACTGCCCTCTAGTGTTAAATGTGCTGCTCTGCTTGAAACTTACAATGGAGTGAGACCACACTGAAAATATAGGTTTAAAAGATTAAAAACAAAACATGTAATTAGAATGCTATTTATAAGAATTATTAATAATCTGTGTTATAATATTTATAATTAATATATTTTTTAATAATTATACTAATATATAATATGTATAATAAATATTAAAGATGCACTTAGTATTTTTTCCTCATTAAAATGTTTAGCCCATATAAGATGAATAGTATTTTTGAAAAGTATATTTCAAATCATGAACATCCAGAATACAGTCATATAAGTAGTTTAATAATGGGGCTGAGTTCACATGACTGTATGAAAACTACTCATTTTGTCTTGTTTACTTTAATGTGTGGAGTTCATTCTAGAGTGCTGCTGTCATGAAAGCAAAAGGAGACATACCAACAAAAAAAAAAAACGTTTTTTTTTTTTGCTTAAAATGTAGTTTATAATGAAAATAAACCTTTGCATGTGCTTTGTCTGTCTCACAATTTGATAGTTTCCTGATCAAAACGACCTGAGGTCTGCTCTAGACAAGGCTATAAATGCTGATGTCATTGGACAGGCAAATAAGGTTCGTGCCGTATTTCACAGCTATAAAATTTCACTTCAGTGTATTTTCTCTCAATTTTGAAAACAGTTGTGCTGCTTAATATTTTGTGGGAAACCATGATAGATTTTTGTCAGGATTTTTTGATGAATAGAAAGGTCAAATGAATAGCATTTATTTGATTTTTTAATTTTGGTAAGACTAAAAATGTCTTTCCTGCCACTTTTATATCCTTGCTGGGTAAAAAGTTAATTTCTTGAAAAAGAAAAAAGAAAACATTCATAACTTCAGTCTCCTACATATATATTTAATCGTTGCGAATGAATGATGTTCATTGTATATGTTTGAATCCCAGGGGAGAGACTTTTTTGACAGCATTCCAGCAAAGGTGAAAAATGAGTCCAGACTAAGTGTGCAGGGTAAGTTTGTGTTGTTACGTGTCCTTAATGAGTCTTCTTTCTGGGGAATCGTCATTCTCAAATGCTTGTTCACTTAAGGGTTAAGTAGTGTGATGTACTTGAAGTTACTGATCAGTCTAGTTGTTAAGTGACGTTGTGCCTTGTGTCTTTTACAGTGGCTCTGTTGCAGCTTGAAACATTAAAAACCAAGATCTCAGGTGTGACCAAAGACCTTCCTCTTGATGTATTGAAGACTATCTCAGCACCACTAACGGACGTGCAGAAATCGATCAAAGCTTTTTCTCCTGACATAGAGAGATCAAGTCAAATCAGGTACCTAAACACATCTTGTTCTAATTAACCATGATTCTCTGTGTTTAAATACAATGTATTTTTATGACAATCTCAAATAATCTCCTTTTTTTTGGTAATAGTCAGGCTGTTGGATTGGTCCTGAGCTGTCTGATTTTGCTCGTGGTGATCTGTAATTTTCTGGGTCTGCTGCTGGGTGTAGCTGGACAAAATTCTAAAGACAATCCCATTGAACGTTCCGGCACATCTAACTGTGGAGGAATATTTTTCATGGCGTGAGTATAAATTCCCCTTTGGATTTGTGCTTGTGTAACAGAAAACTGTTGTCAGTGTGCATTGTTATATATGGTACAATAAAACTGTACGCGTGGTAATTACTTCCTCTTGTGTCATTTTAGAGGAGTAGGTTTCAGCTTCCTGGTCTCCTGGATCTTCATGTTAGTAGTGTTGATACTTTTCATAGTGGGAGGAAATACCTATACCCTGGTCTGTAAACCATGGCAAAACAAGGAACTCATCCAGGTATTTCCAGCAACACTGACTCATTGTGTTTGATCGTATGACCTTGACTAGTTACTAGTTTCCAGTAAATGAACATTTTTGCATCAATCATTACCAGTATATTTGATTATCATATTGTGTTTCATAGCTTATTGACACTCCAGGGCTGATTCCAGGTTTCAACCTGTCCAGGGCTCTGAATCTGAATACAAACCTGAATATTGTTAATGTGTACAGGTACGTCACACACAAGACAGCATGATGGATGGCTGTCATATTTACATTATTTACATCCAATATAAATCAATAAATTCGCTTTTTATAATTTCTAGTGACTGTCAAAAGAATAAGCCCTTGTGGACCACATTTCATCTGAATGAGATCTTCGACCTAAATAGTAAATTAGATGTTTCACAGGTGAGATATTATAACTCTTTCTTTACTTTCCTATGATTGATGCATCACTTATTGGACACTAATGGCTGATTCGCTCAACAGTACACCCATGAGATTGATCAGACCTTTGATGGGGTACAAATCAACATAGCAAACATCACCATCCTCAGTCCAGAGGTAAAGTCCCAGCTAAACAACTTCTCCAGCAGTGCCAGCAGTATGAACTTCAGCAACATTACACAGCAGGTACACTATATACTTCATTCTCAAAAGCACACTAGCATATACTGTTTGTGAAATCAAATGATGTATAATTTAATAACGGGTACACATGAGCATTATTCATATGGCAAAAAATTTAATAAAATAAATAAATAACTAGTGATTATAGCATTACACATATATGTGACCCAGGACCACAAAATAAAAAATAAGGGTCATTTTTTTGAAATTGAGATTTATACATCATCTGAAAATATTTGGCCGAGGTACAACTATTTGAAAATCTGGAATCTGAGGGTGCAAAAAAAAAATCAAAATATTGAGAAAATCACCTTTAAAATTGTCCAGATGAAGTTCTTAGCAATGAATATTACTAATCAAAAATGAAGTTTTGATATATTTACAGTAGAAAAATTACAAAATATCTTCATGGAACATCAAAAAAAAAAAAAAAAAATTTACCCATGTATTGTTGGCTATTGCTACAAATATACCTGTGCACAAGTTTTGTGTGTGTGTGTGTGTGTGTGTGTGTGTATATATATATATTTTCCCTGAACAATATATATATGCAAAATGTATTCTTTAAAATATATTATGGACAATATAAATATATTTATATTGAAAATATATTTCTGGCAAAATGGCGAAAATATGAGGAAGTACATATTGAGAATATATTTATATGAATATATTTCAAAATCTATATTAGCGATACATTTTTTGATTTCAGATTAACGACGTGTCAGGGATTAATCTGAGCTCAATAGCAGAAAGTCTGGATATCTTGGCTGGCAAACAGGTGAAAGTTACTTTTGTTTACTTGTCTTGTTAACACCCCCTGCTCTAGTCGGATCAAAGAGAATGGATCAAATACACTTACTTGTGTCTTTCAGAGTAACCAAGCTATAAAAGATGAACTGCATGGGGAAGCAAAAGATCTGCGAGTCATCCAGACTGACATCACGTCTAACATTATGCCTTTGTTGGTGTGTTAACACAACACAAAAGACAGTACTCAGAATTTAAATTTCAACTGAACATGACATTATAATTAGGAATGAATGAATATTAATCCCAAAGTGTTCTTGACTAGTTTGTTTCAGTTTGGTTTACTATGATCTACATCCTTTTCCTCTTTGCAGCTGGAACTGAACACCACTGTTAAGAATCTCAGTGTAGTAGCATCACAAATCACTGTAAGTAAACACTAGCCATCATAAGTGCATGAGAGTATCAATATGTATAATACTGTAGCCTAAACTACATTATATCAGTTTTTAAAATAATTGAATTATAGACCCCATGAATTATGATGATTTGCTACTTGCAGTAAATATTGTCATTCAATGTACCGTTCAGCCAGGATGCATTAAATTGATCAAAAGTGACAGTAAAGACTTTTATATTGTTACCAGAATGTCTGTTTCAAATAAATGCTGTTCTTTTGAGCTTTCTGTTCATCAAAGAATCTTGAAAAGGTTTCCATAAAATTATTGAGCACAAGTTTTAATAATAATAATAAAAATGTTACTCGAGCAGCAAATCAGCATATTAGAATGATTTCTGAAGGATCATGTGACACTGAAGTCTGGAGTAATGATGCTGAAAATTCAGCTTTGCCATCACCGGAATAAATTAAGTTTTAAAATACATTAAAATAATAATTATTATTTTTTTTACAATATTAACTTTTTTATTTCATTTTGTTCAATCATTTTTGAAAAAAGAATAAAAAGAATCATCTTTAATCTTTATGGCCCTAATTAAAAATGCACTAACAGTATCTTCAAATTTCTTATCTTTATTCATTTTATAGGCAGCTGTGGAAAATGTTTCCCAAAAAGTTGCCTATGCTCAGGACGTCCTGAACGTCAACATATCACAAATAGTGAAAACTGTGAGTGTTGCACAATCAATGCTATATTTAGATAAATGATCTGTCAGGATGATTACTGTATTACAGTGATGAAAAAATCTACTGTGCATTTTATAGTAACTGTATGCTTCTTTTCTGCAGGAGAGCAGGGCATTCATAGACTGTCAGCTGAAAATCTTTCAGACATTTCTTCACTGGGCAAATCAAACGGTATGTTTATGTCTTTATTTATATTCAAGGTGCCGACTATCTTAATGGTGAATTATTAATATTATGGTGTTGCACTCTGTATCAGATCACAGAGAGGGTGGGTCGGTGTAGGCCTGCAGCTGCAGCAGTAGACCGATCAGAGGAGCTCGTCTGTAAACACTTGGTAGAATCTTTGGTAAGAATCCATCATCAGCTCTAGCTGCTTCTTTTTCCTTATTACAGCGCTGAGAGACTTGTAAGTGCACATGGTTCCCATCTAATAAAACAAAATATCCTGTCTGTTCTCCAGAATGCATTTTGGTTGAGTTTGGGCTGGTGTATGATGTTCCTGATCCCCAGCATCATTTTCTCAGTTAAACTGGCCAAGTACTACCGCAGGATGAAGTATTCAGATGTTTATGAGTAAATTATCTTATTTGTTTTTTAAATGTAAAAGCGAATCATGAAAAAGTCTACTGTTTACCTACTGTCATGGATCAATTCAAATGGTTTCCTTCTGATTTCTCTCTTTAAAGGAACAATAACTTCATGATGAATCCTTTCCCAAAGGCCCACCTCAATCCTGAATTATTGGAAAATGGCAAACAACCACCTTTTACATAAGCACATAATTAAAAATGACTGTTAAGTTATACACACTGACCCACAGATCAATGAATTGACAAGTAGACAATGACTGTAGTAAAAACAATGCCAAAGTAGCTTCTGAGTACCCTTTTCTTTATTTTTAGTGCCATAGATTGTATCATAAATGAACTTTGTGTCAAATGATTTTAGCACTTGATATTTAAATGAAAAGCACAACTTTACTGTTACAACTGTAATATGTTCTTGTATTATAAGGCATTAATGGGAGTTTAAGCTTTAGAATGCAGTTTATGTGGTCCTGTAGGCATTGAAATTTATTTATGCCATTTTTTTCAATAAGAAATATGGGTATGCTGTTATATACAGTGGGTACGGAAAGTATTCAGACCCCCTTAAATTTTTCACTCTTTGTTATATTGCAGCCATTTGCTAAAATCATTTAAGTTAATTTTTTTTCCTCATTAATGTACACACAGCACCCCATATTGACAGAAAAACACAGAATTGTTGACATTTTTGTGAATACTTTCCGTACCTACTGTATATATACATTTCTATTAGACTGTCCTAATAATGAAATTATCTCATGAATAACTGTGGAGACTGTGATTGTATAAACCAACATGAAGTGGTGTGGAATCTGAGGCCTGTTAAACATTTCTATCTTATGTCATGTATTAATTACAATCATAATAAAAGGTTCTGACACTACCATGCTGAACCTGTTTGTTTGGTGTAAAGAATTGCTTGCCACAGTCTGTCCAGATGACCCATCGAGAAACCCTCCCCCCAGTACCTCCTATATCCTGTGACTGAGGCCTCATGGTACAACTGCCATTACAACAGTGTGCCAATCAGGATGAAGCACTGGAGCAGTGGAGCACACATTCCACACATATCTGTGCTGCTTAGAGAGAGAGAGAGAGAGAAAACAGAAATCGGACAAGATTTATTCACTATCTGACATTCTGACCAAAACATTAAATATCCAGAAAATATTGTAGTATAGCAGTTTTCAAAAATACTGAGATCATATAGCAGGAAAAATGTTAATTTAAAAGTATACTAGCCCATTTCTCGATATTAGAGCTAACACTTAGCATTCGGATGAGTAAATACCAGAGATACTTAGACATGCGCAACAAGGGCATAACTGGAAAACCACGCAACTTGTCTTGAAATCACATAAATCTAAGACTTATGCACATGCATGTTATGTGTACATTACCATTCAAAAGTTTAGGGGTCAATAATCTTTTAAAGAAACTAAATTAAAATTACATTGATGAAAAGTGATAGAAAAGAAAGACATTAAAATGTTATAAAAGATATGTATTTAACTGTTCTTTTGAACCTTATATACAGTAGGCCTTATATATAAAATGGATTCACAAAAATGAATGACACAAAAATATAAAGTTTTTGTTTTAATGTTTTAAAAATGTTTTTTTAAGCACAAATCAAGACAGGAGTACTATATATATATATATATATATTAGTGCTGTCAAGCGATTAATCACGATTAATCGCATCCAAAATAAAAGATTTTGTTTACATAATATAAGTATGCGGTTTATATTTATTATGTATATATAAAATAAATACACACACATGCATGTATATATTTCAGAAAAATATGT